AAGGCACATACTACTCGTAGGTTGAGAACGTTTTTTAAAAAAATAATAGTGATAATAATTATTATTTAATGTGATAATTTGGAAAACTAAAATATTTGTTCATCAAAATGTTAGCACCTCTTTTTCTTTCCTGTGAAGTGCCCTGAAAATGAAATACTTTTCATAACCATTTCCTACACATTTTCTTTTTGAGAAATTGGATAGTGTATATATATGTACGGGGTGGCGGGAACCATTTGCTGCTTAGGCAACTGGCTTGATACTCCAATTCAGTCAAATGTGTCAAAAGGGAATGGGAAAGTGTATTCAGTTGCTAATTTGATTGTGTATAATAGTCCACATTTAGTCACGCCTAACTGCATGTGATTCCTCTTGGACTATATTTGACACCGAAACTCCAAGTAGAGAATACTAAAATAGTAAATCCTTATAACTCTTTATTATGCTTCTCAAGAGAAGACATGGGAAAACTTTCCTTGCAAACAGAGGTTCACATTACTAATTCAGAATTATGGTCCTGCAGTGTTATTGTGTTAACTATGGGAATCAAGTGAAGGGTTGGGGTTGGCCAAGGTAAAATATTCTTTCTTTAAAAACAAAACAAAAATAAACAATCACAAAGTTAAAGTCTGTCTAGAGCAGCGGCTACCAAACCTGGCAATTTTAAGACTTACCTCCCAGAATTCCTCAACCAGACAATTTTAGCAAGGCTCAAAAAGCTAAACAGGATTAGACCTTGTTAGGACCTGGATGGGAGACCAACAGGACCAATGTACAGTAGGACAGTCTGGGAAATAAAAACAATCCTGAAAAAGGTAAAAGATAAAGCCCTGTTACAAACAAAATTGAAGTAACAATGTAATGGGAACAGTTGAATTCAACTTTAAAATGCATGTTGTTGTTTTTCTCCTTTCTTTTAAGAGCAAATTATGGGAGCATTAACAATATACAGTTTATTTTTTTACAGTTTTTTTTAAACTTAAATTCTATTATACCACCCCTTTAAATAAAAAACAACAACTTTTCCTGAAATTAGAAATAGCATAATTTAATAAATACGTACATGTTGGCTGTAGAAACGATTAGAATTAATAAGCATATTTGCAACAGAGAGAATAGTTTTGAAGTTAGTCATGGAAAAGATAATGTTGCGTATTTAATAAATGTACACAGGAATTTAGCTCCAAAATATTTTTCCCTTCTAATCTATAATTCTTTTGTGATAAGAAATCAACCTTTCAGTGAAGAAAAATGTACATTAATGATTAATAACTTTTATTTAAATCAATTGCTTTGTAATGTTTTATAAGATGAATCACATAGATTCTGGGATAACATCCAAATGATGGTTGGTACTTGATTCTTGATTGATACACAACCCTCTTCAAAGATCATAGAGATAATTGAATCAAGGGAATAGAAAGGAATGAGTAAAGACTTCAAATTCACTTTAGCAAAAACTTTTGCAGTCAATAATTGCATCACATTCATATATATATATGAATGTGAATGCTAGCGGGATAAGAATTGGTTCCTGTAACTTAGAAGATGAACAGAGATATTATTTGTAAAATACCATCAATATCTTTCTATTTCTGCTTAGTAATGAATGGAACCAGCCCAATTTGCTTCAAAATTAATCCAGACGCAAAGTAGTTTCTTATGTATGAAGAATACTAAGCATGAAAGAACATGTTGTTCTGATTTAATGGGAAAACAATGTAGCATTGGAGCTTCTTTCTCTTCTAAAATACTTAATAACTAAAGTGCTACTAATTAGTTACAAGACACTTTTTATTTCTCATAAAAAGTCTATTCTCTGCTTATGAAATTAATAATTTCGAGTACAGGTTTAAATTAATATTTCTGCTTTATATCCCCAGCAAATTTAACATTTCAGAATAGATTTAAAAAAATGCTGGAAAAAATGTATTACTGAGGAGAGTGTATATGCAATGGTGGCCTTTCTTCTTAATTTTTCAGTTTCTTTGGGATTTGAGAGAGCTAAAGAAAGAAATAGGTATTTAATACTTATTTCCAGTAAAATGGGAATTAATAATTCTTGAAAAAGGTCAGATACCAGCTATCTGCTTGCTCAAATTTCCCTCTATAAATCAAATACTTCTTCAGCATAGTTTAATGTCTTGGCACTCCTGAAAGATAGGCTTTGCAACATTCTGACATTGGATTAGGAGTCAGTAAAATAAAGGTTCTGTAACCTGTAAAGTTGTAGTCACCATCATATAAGGACTGTTAACTATTTATACAACCTCTTGCAGCAAATATTAGAAGATGCATGGCTCACTGTGATCAGTAAATGCATAGAAGTCATCAAAAGCATTGCACAGTTCTGTATGAAAACTAATGTATTTATTTACAGTAACTATAAGCCTCAGGTGAGATGGGCAGCAAACAAATTTAATTAAAAAAAAATAGAATTCTAATTCCATAGTACTAAAAATAAAAAAGAAAAGAAAAAGGGGAACCCCCCCCCAAAAAAAATAACTAATCCAGAACAAACTGATATAATTACAGAAAACAAAAATAACTCTCAGATAAAATCCAAGTTAGCTGCCCACACTCAGCCAGCTGGGACTTAAAGTTCATGGAAATGCAACAGTCTTAACCTATTTATGGAATTGCAGACTGTACTGCAAGTGGGAACTGCCTGTACTTGGTGGTGGTGGGGAAAGTATTCTGCAAGATGGAAGTTATTACAAAAAAAGGCTAGCTGTCTCATTCATTCTCTGCAAGCTTCATGAAGGAAGGGAAGTTCCAGCTAGCACTCTCCTGGGAACCTGGCCAGATTGGTAGATTTGCTTGTGGCAAGGTGTTGCCTGATGTGTCCTAGTTCCACACTATTTATGGCCCTAAAGATGATGAATAGAACTTGAAATTGAGATTGGAGACCTGCTGGCAAGCAGTAATAATATAACTGTAGTATAGTTATAATATAAATAGCTCCCATTACTTCTCCCAGCTTCTGCCAACCTAGCAGTTCGAAAGCATGTAAAAATGCAAGTAGAAAAATAGGGACCACTTTCAGTGGGAAGATAACAGCGTTCCGTGCACCTTCGACGTTTAGTCATGCCGGCCACATGACCATGGAGACATTTTTGGACAGCACTGGTTCTTTGGCTTTGAAACGGAGATGAACACGGCCCCTAGAGTCGGGAGCAACTAGCACCTATGTGTGAGGGGAACCTTTACCTTTACATATAGTTATAATAAAGTTTTTACACCTAGACTACAATAATACAGTTTTAGTACTGTATTATAATACTATAATACAGTTTTAGACCTGTAGTATAGATGTAGTATAGGTGCAATTCTTCATTGCTGGAGCTCACCTACCAATAATATTGCTGCCATATATTGTACATCTCTCCAAAGACAACCTCACATACAGCAATTGCAGTACTTCAGACAGGTGGTGAGGAAGACATGGGTTTCAGAGGTCAGGACATTGTAGTCCAGGTAGAGTCATAACTGGTGCAGCAGCCAAAGCTGGGTGAACCTTCTGCTGTTTAATAGGAATTGCACGTCCAGGAGGGACCACAAGT